TATTGAAACAACAACTTAGTGACGTCAAAATTTCTGATATCCAACTTGGACGAACAGGAATTTTTACTTTATATGCAATTGATGTTCAATCATTCAATCGCCTTTTGAACGACTTAACACCAATATTATCAAGCAATGGTCATCCATCAGCCAAGATATATGTGCCTCGGTCCATCCAACGGATCAAGGACACAGAAAAGATTGCTTTCGTGAAGAGAGTTGATCTTGAAATACCAGAAGATCGTATAACTGATGCATTAAAACAAGTTGGCTTTGATGTTATTAATGTTATACGTTTAAAAGGTAAAGATAGCAACACTCCAACTAAAACAATCAAAATTACATTTGCTGATGGTCAAAATCGCAACACTTTCGTGCATACTGGCTTACAAGTGGATTGCATGCACTTCACAGCTGAACCAGCATCACAAAATACAAAGCCGGTGCAATGTTACTTATGTTTGAAGTACAACCACGTAGCAAAGTACTGCAAAACAAAACAACAAGTATGTGCTCGATGTGGTGATAATCATCGCATGGATCAATGTACAGTTGCTAGTGATGCAGTCAAATGTTACAATTGCAAAGGTAATCATTTAGCCACTTCTAATGATTGTTCATATTATAGAGAACAAGAAAAAAGAATGTTAAAATTGATTAATCAATATTCTACATCAAGCAATCAAGTAACAACAGCACCTGCAATTTACAGCATCGAAGAATTTCCACCGTTGCCGAATATTATTCAACAGCAGAAAGAATTTCTACAAAATGGATTATTTGATGATATTCTTAATGCTATTACTAGCAAAATGGAAACCATTATCAAAGAAACAACAAGTAGATTATTCAAATCATTACAACAAAAGATAAAGAAAATCGAAAAATTCATCGGCAACAACAAGAATAAGGTCGAAGAAGATGATGCTTTAACTATCTCCGATTCAGATTCAAATGAAGAAGAATCACAAGTAGTTAATCACATCAAGAACAAACAAAAACAACACACTGAAGCAGCCAAAACAAGCACTCCTGTGATCAATACTTCAACTAAACCAACAACCACAACAACGATCCCAACTACATCAAAACAACAACGTAAAGCAAAAGAAACATCAAAGTCGACAAAAAGAGTTCGATCACCCAACAGCTCTTTAGATACATCGACAAATGATAATAAAGACCTTAAAACAAGCAGCAACAAGAATGATTAATGTTTGCCACATTAACATCAACTCAATCACAAGACACAAAGATGAACTCCTAGCCAGATTCTCCAATTATGACGTCATCTCTGTTAATGAAACTAATCTGAAGAGTGAACGCAAGTTCTCTTTGATGGGTTATAACATTTTCAGAAATGATCGAGTAGGAAAACTTGGGGGTGGAGTCTTACTAGCTGTCAAACAACACATCAAATGTCGAGAAATACTTAACAAAACATCAAACAAGAACGAAATAATTGCAATTGAAGTTGATACACAACTATTCAAGTCGATATTAATAGCCTCCATCTATGTACCACCAACGGCAAAGATGGATCTTAATATCTTCAAAGAATTGTACAACATCAATAACAACTGCATTATAGTAGGTGATCTTAATGCAACACTACATCACATGGGATCAGCCAAGGCTAATGCAAGAGGAAGACAGCTGCAAGAATTATTTAAAGAAGGCTTTATTGAATGTGTCGATGATGATACTCCAACATTTGAAAAGAATGACTATGAAGTTAAGCTCGACTGGCTTTTAGGTAGTCAACCACTTCTATCTTTCACATCAAATTTGGAAACACATCCAACAATTGGTACATCATGCGGACACAAACCATTAACCTTCGACATCTCTATTGGAGCTGAACCAAAACCACCAACTCCAAGAATGTCATTTAATTTCAAAACAGCTAAATGGGCCAAGTTTAGAAGCAAATTAGATCAACAACTGATGTTATGGAATAATGATCGTCGTTTAGATTCAACATTAGCTATAGAAGAATATACGTCATTTATTACTAATTCCATCTTAGTAGCAACACAAGAAGCTATTCCACTGTCCAAACAAACGAATACCACACCTATGATAAGTGAAGTTACGAAGAGGTTAATTACACAAAAACATCAAGCTTATCGTCGTTGGAAGAAGATGGGAGATTATCAACATAAACATCAATATTACAACTTCAAAGTCCTATTAACCAATTCACTTAGAAATGACAGAAAAGACAACTTCAACAAGTTAATGTCATCACTATGTCAAAAGAAAATGTATTCGGATAAAATTTGGCTGACGGTTCGTAAGTTTCACAACAAACGAATCAAACAAACATTTTCAAGCATCATGAAATACAACAACACAACAGCAACATCAGATAAGGAGAAAGCAGACCTATTTGCCGATTACTTCGAAAATGATGTCTACTCTCTTACTGCTGATTCACTGCCATTTCATGATCAAGTTAAACGCCAAACGGCCAACATCAAGAATGGAAATATGACCTTATCAAAAACGACTAAGTGGAAGCAAATTACACCAAAAGAAGTTAAATTTCACATTAAACAACTTCGAAACAGCTCCACTGGTCCAGACAACATCCACAATAGATGTTTAAAGAATGCTTCAGAATTACTAATTAAACATTTAATCAATTTGTTCAACTCAATTCTGAAGTACGGTTATATTCCAACAAAGTGGAAGACAGCACATATTATTCTTTTATTGAAACCGAAGAAGGACAAACAACATCCTTCTAGTTATCGGCCAATTAGTCTCCTTAGTTGCTTAGGCAAATTACTGGAGAAAATAATCAAACAACGTCTAATGCTTGAAATTGAACGAAGAAATATATTACCACAACATCAAGCCGGCTTCAGACCAGGAAAAAGTACTATTTACAACATCGTGCGATTAGAACGGTATGCTGAAGGACAACTAAGACGACCTCGTCGAAGACGTCACTCAGCCGTCATTCTATTCGACATCAAAGCTGCCTTTGATTCAGTATGGCACGATGGTTTGATATACAAACTAAATGATTATCGTCTTCCTCATTACATTATTAATTATCTGGTCTCTTTCTTACAAAATAGAACTGCTGCAATTGAAATCGAAAATGTTTTATCTCGTCCATTCAACTTAAAGAGCGGTACTCCACAAGGATCTCCATTATCACCATTATTATATATTATATATACGGCAGATTCGATGAATGGAATACCGACTCACACAGAACATGGGTTATTCGCCGATGATACAGCTTTATGGACATCAGGAAACACCATGACAATCCTTAATACAAGGTTACAAGAGTCCATAGATGCATTTGAAAGTTGGTGCAAGTCATGGAAATTAAAGCTGCAACCAACAAAAACTGAACTGATTCACTTCAGCTTACACCCAAGAAAGAAGTACAAGCATCCAGTGGAAGTAACTGTTGGAAACACCATTATTCAACCACTGAAACACACAAGATACTTGGGTGTAATTATAGACAAACAACTAAAATGGCGAAGTCATCTCGATCATATTGAAGCTAAGATTGCTCCTCGGATCGGTCTTCTTCGATATTTATCGAGAACAGCAAATGAACCCAACAACAAGACGATGATAAACATTTTCAAATCAATTGTACGCACAATCATTATTTATGGTCATCCTGTTCTACTGACTGCTGATCAAAAAATATGGAACAGACTGCAGATCATGCAAAACAAAGCACTTCGAGCTGCATTAGGTCTACCAATTTATACATCGGTAGAATACATACACAAGATCAGCAACGTCCCCAAGATTAAAGATTATGCAATTGGATTACTCCAAAAGTCAATTCAAACAGCAACATCGAATAATGACATTACATTGAAGACCCACCTTCAAGATATATTTAATCAAATTTAAAAAAACACAAAGAAATCTACAAGATTGCTTATATATAAAAACAAAATTACGTAAATCTATTTGCTTGTTCATTTTCTATCATTCAGCTATTTCTCTTTCCTTGCCTTCAACTTCATATCAAATACGAAGTGGAGTCAATCTATTTGCTTGTTCTTTTTTTGTAATTCAGCTATTTCTTTTTTCATTCCTCTCCATTCAATATTATGTATAAAGATGGAGAAATTCATTACATTATTCCCTTTACTTTATCATGTACTTTCTTTTTCTTGCCACTTCAATTCGTATTCAATATGAAGTTGGAAAATGATTTTGCTTATTCTTTATACTTGATTATGCAATTTCATTTTTTCTCCCTTCCACTTCATATTCAATATGAAGTTGGAAAATCATTTTGCTTATTCTTTAAACTTTATATTGTTATTTCATTTTCTCTCATTTCCAATTCATATTTAATATGAAACTGGAAAATCACTTTGCTTACTCTTCGACACAACATCGATATTAAATCATCATCGCATATACACCTACATACAATCCACACCACAACGCAACAAACATATCTTCGAGACGAAAGACTAATGTCATGTGTCTCTTGCTTATGCTTCCAGCTTTCAATGACAATACA